GCAGTGAGCTGAGATCTGGCCACTGCACTCCAGCCTGGGCGACAAACCGAGACTCCGTCTCAAAAAAAAAAAAAAAAAAAAAAAAGATGCAAAATTGGGCTGGAAGTGATGGCTCACACCTATAATCCTAACACTTTGGGAGGTCTAGGTGGGAGGATCACTTGAGTCCAGGAGTTCGAGACCAGCCTGGGTAACATAGGGAGAACCCCATCTCTACAAAAAAGTTAAAAAATCAGGCAGATGTGGTGGCACACCCCTGTAATTTCAGCTACTTGGGAGTCTGAGGTGGGACCATCACTTGAGTCCAGGAGGTTGAGGCTGCAATGAGCTGTGATCACCCCACCACACTCCAGCCTGCATGACAGAGTGAGACCTTGTCCCAAAACTAAAATAAATAAAAATAAAAGATGCGAAAGTCGAGGAGTAACCTAAGTAATCTAGGCAAAAACAAAAAACAAATACATGATAATGTCCTCTACCACCATGTGGCAGGAATTAAAAGAATTGGATATATGCAAGAGACATTTAAAAAGAATAAACAAGGGCCTGGTGCAGTGGTTCATGCCTGTAATCCCAGCACTTTGGAAGGCAAAGGCAGGAGAATCACTTGAGGTCAGGACTTCATGACCAGACTGGCCAACATGGTGAAATCTCGTCATTACTAAAACTACAAAACTTAGCCGGGCATGGTGGCACACACTTGTAATCCCACTTACTCGGGAGGCTGAGGCAGGAAAATCACTTGAATCCAAGAGGTGGAGGCTGCAGTGAGATGAGATTGCGCCACTGCACTCCAGCCTGGGCTACCGAGCAAGTCTCCGTCTCGAAAAAAAAGAATAAGCAAGACTTTGTTATTGACTATGTTTGGGGGATAAGAAGGAAAGAGTTAAGAATAACTCCCCTGTTTGGCTTGGTGGTACCAATGATGGACACAGAAAACACACAAGGGGCCGGGAGCGGTGGCTCACACCTGTAATCCCAGCACTTTGGGAACCCAAGGCAGGTGGGTCACTTGAGGTCAGGGGCTCGAGACTAGCCTGGCCAGCATGGAGAAACCCCATCTCTACTTAAAACACAAAAATTCGCCAGGCACCATGGCACATGCCCGTAATCCCAGCTACTCAGGAGGTTGAGGCACGAGAATCGCTTGAACCTGGGAGGGAGAGGTTACAGTGAGCCGAGACTGTGCCAGTGCACTCCAGCCTGAGTGACAGTGCAAGATTCCATCTCAAAACAAAAACAAACAACAAAAACCACACACACACACACAAGAGGAGCAGGTTTGAGAAGATGATGATTCATGATGGGACTTGCCGAGGATGAGGTCCTAATAGGACTTTTAAGTGAAGACAGGTGAATGTGTCAATGAGTCCAAAGACAGGAAGTCTACTAATCCTCACTAGTTATCTACTAATGGGTAACAAATTACCCCAATTTAGTGCCTCAAAAGAAAACACATTTATGATATCACAGTTCTTATGGGTCAGGAATCTGGGAGCAGCCTAGCCTGGCTCAGGGCCTCTTGAGTTTGCAGTCATCTCAAGGTTGGACCGAAGGAGGATCCACTTCCAAGCTCACTCGTGTGGCTGCCCAAGTGTCCTCACAACATGGCAGCTGGCTTCCCTTTCTCTAGGGCTGCCTTACAAGTAATGAGGGAGGAGTAAATGAGAGAGGGAAACAGGGTGAGAAAGAACATCAAAGATGAAACTACAGTGTTTTTTTTTTTTTTTTTTTTTCTTTGAGACGAAGTCTCGCGCTGTCACCCAGGCTGGAGTGCAGTGGCCGGATCTCAGCTCACTGCAAGCTCCGCCTCCCGGGTTCACGCCATTCTCCTGCCTCCACCTCCCGAGTAGCTGGGACTACAGGCGTCCGCCACCTCGGCCGGCTAGTTTTTTGTATTTTTTAGTAGAGACGGGGTTTCACCGTGTTAACCAGGATGGTCTCGATCTCCCGACCTCATGATCCGCCCGTCTCGGCCTCCCAAAGTGCTGGGATTACAGGATTGAGCCACCGCGCCCGGCCAAAACTACAGTCTTTTTATAACCTAATCTCAGAAGTGACATAGTATCACTTCTGCCATATTCTGTTTGACACAAGCAAGCCACTAAGTCCAGTCTACACTCAAGGGGAGGGAAACGAAGCCTCATTAACTGAAAGGACAGTTATCAAAGAATGAGTAGATAGGACACATCTTTAAAACCACAATATCACAACCACATTATTAACTTACCTAATGCATAAATCATCACTACCTTTTCTTCTCTACTGCCAGTTCAAAAACCTCTTATCTTTACAATTTCTCCAAAATGAGTATAAACCCTCAGCTTGATAATGAATTCATTCCTTTACCTACTTTCCAACCTGCATCTCCCATTCCTCCCCTCTGCACATTCCTGCTCTAGCTACATACTGCTTCCAAACACTTCCATACTCGTTCACCGGCATTCACACTGTTTCCTTGGCCTACAAGCATGGTTCTCAAACTTAAGTTCAGGTGAAAGAACATCTGACAGTCTCCATACTCTTAATACTACTACAAAACACAGATCCACAAAGCCCAGTGTAACAATTCATTACACTGTGCTAAAAGGAAACCACTCTTATACTAGATTCTAGAATACACAAAGGGAAGCAGGTGCCAATGATTTCAGAACATTTCTTCTATACGTTGATTAAACACAAGGCTATTATTAGAGATTAGCAGAATATCCTTTCATGGAAGGAACACCTCCTGAAAGCAACTGAGGGAAAGCCTCTTACTCTCATTCCTCCATCTCTTAAAACTTTACATGACTAGTTGTAAAAAGTCTGAAACCATCCTGAAGGCGCCTAAAAAAGTTCCTATATAAACTGTAGTGTTGCTGCATGGTGGGATGCCATAGAGCCGTTTAAAAAGATGAGGCAGAGCTTTGTGTACTGACTTGGAACAATCTCCAAGGTACGTTAAGAAGAAAAAGCAAGGTGTGGAACAATGGGTATACCAGGCTACTATATGTGTTTTTCTAATAAGTAAGTTTGGCCAGGTTCAGTGGTTCATGAATGCAACCCCAGCACTTTGGGAGGCTGAGGTGGGAGGATTCTTTGAAGCCAGGAGTTCGAGACCAGCCTGGGCAACATGGTGAGACTCCTCCCTGTCCTCATCTCTACAAAAAAAACTGTAAAAGATATCAGGACATGGTGACCAGAACCTTTAGTCCTACCTACTCGGGAAGCTGAAGCCGGAGGATCTCTTGAACCCAGGAGTTCCAAACTGCAGTTAAGCTATAGTCACGCCACTACACTCCAGCCTGAGTGACAGAGCCAGTCTCCGTTTCTTTAAAAAAAAAAAAAAAAAAATGGCCAGGCACAGTGGCTCACTCCTGTCATCCCAGCACTTTGGGAGGCCAAGGCGAGATCACCTGAGGTCAGGAGTTCGAGACCAGCCTGGCCAACATGGACAAACGCCCTCTCTACTAAAAATACAAAATTAGCCAGGCGTGATGGCGCATGCCTGTAATCTTAGTTACTGGGGAGGGTGAGGCAGGAGAGAATAGCTTGAACCGGGAGGCGGAGGTTGCGGTGGGCTGAGATCTCGCCATTGCACTCCAGCCTAGGCAACAAGAGTGAAACTCCGTCTCGGGAAAAAAAAAAAAGGTAGCCGGGCGTGGTGGCGTGCGCCTATAGTTCCAGCTACTCGGGAGGCTGAGACAAGAGAACTGCTTGAACTGAAAATGGGGAGATTGCAGTGAGACGAGATCACTGCACTCCAGCCTGGGCGACAGAGCGAGACTGTTACACACACACACAAAAAAAAAAAAAGGAAAAAAGAAATTAAACCCATCCAAAAAGAGAAAGGAGAAGTATCTCCTAAACATACCTAGAACATCTCTGGAAGGTTCCAGGAGGCACTGGTAAGGGTACCTCTGGGGAGGTGCGTGGAGTGGGAGGAAGACATTACAAAGCAAGCCTGTCCTACCCAAGGGCCGCGTGCGGCCCTGGAGGCCAGGTTTTGAATACAGCCCAACACAATTTCGTAAACTTTCTTAAAGCATTATGAGATTTTTTTAAAGATTTTTTTTAAGCTTATCAGCTATCATTAGTGTTAATGTATTTTATATGTGGGCCCAGACAATTCTTCTTCCACTGTGGCTCATGGAAGCCAAAAGATTGGACTCCCCTGTTGTAAGATATTCGATTTGTCAGTTACCCAGCCTCAGCTCTTACTTGCTTCTTTGTTTAGCGACAAGGTCTCGCTCTACTGCCTATGCTGGAGTGCAGTGACGCGGATCAGAACTCACTGAGCCTCCAATTCCTGGGCTCAAGATCCTCCATCCTCCACCTCCCAAGTAGCTGGTACTACTGGCGCGCACCACCACGCCGGCTAATCTTTGTATTTTTTGGAGAGATGGGGTCTCGTATATTGCACGGGCTGGTCTCCAACTACTGGAATCCCTCGCCTCGGCCTCCCAAAGCGCTAGGATTCCAGGCGCCAGCCACGCGCACGGCCAGCCACGCTTTTTTGTACAGGATCTTACCTCTCGCCTCTCTGCGAGACCAGAAGCTAAGAGATTGGCTCAGACTCATCTTTCAGTCCCTCACGCTGCTTAACGACGCGCCGGGTGGCTCCCGTGCCTTATATTTCATGGACTCCTCACCAGCCTGGGGTTGGCATCGCCTAAAGTCAACCGGCAGGTGGGCAGTAGAGCCAGGATTCCGCTCTCTGCCCACGCCACGCGCGGCCTTCCCGGAGGCGGGGACCGTGGAGTGTGCGGGACCCCACTGAGCCTCCTGACGGGACTCCCGCCTCAAGGTGCTTTCTTGATTTCTATCGTGTAAGATTGAGGGGACACCCAAGCTACTACTCACACCTCATGGAAAGCGGGAGAAGAGCGGAAGAGCAGGCGCCTCCTCAAGGAACAGACTCTGACAGCAGCCACCGCCCTTAAGTGCAAAACCCTACGCTCGCCCGGAAATGACGCACAGAGGCTCGGTTCCCGCCCCCTCGCTTCCGGGTCCGGGCCTCGCTCGCGCGTGCGCAGCAGAAGCCAGTCGCGGGGTTTCACACCCGCGTCTTCACGAGGTGAAAACAAGATGGAGGACTCGGCCTCCGCGCAGCTGTCTTCTTCAGGCTCGACTGCAGCCTCCGCCTCGACTCCAGGGGCCCCGACAGCACGGAAGCAGCTGGACAAAGAGCAGGTGAGTGGTTCCTGGGGAGGGTGGCTTGGAAGCGGGGTGGCGGTGACCTCGTGAGGCGCAGGGTGCCAGAACCTGAGTGCGTGCTCGGCGCACTTCCCCGAGGCTGTGGGACGGTCGCTTGCGGGCCGTGTGCCTCCCCCTTTAAACACTTGGGTGGGCGCCTGCTTCCCCCAGTCCTGCGGCCTGGCGCTCTTGAATTGGGTTGCAAGTGTACCGTGGAGCTAGACGAGATGACCTGGCGACCTGGCTTAGCTTCCCTATCGTTAGCCCTTGACCGAGTCGTTTAGTTTTGCAGGTCTGCTACCCGTTATTTAAAATGGGCCCTTCCACTCCCCGCTATCCAGGATCGGGAGAGGTAATGCGTGTAAAGCGCTTTGACCAGGGACCTGGCACGTGGTGAGAAGGTACTCAGTAGGCCGGGCGCGGTGGCTCATGCCTGTAATCCCAGCATTTTGGAAGGCCGAGGGGGGTGGATTACCTGAGATCAGGAGTTAGAGACCAGCCTGGCCGACATGGTGAAACCTCGTCTCTACTAAAAATACAAAAATTAGCTGGGGGGTGGTGGCGGGCGCGTGTATTGTCAGCTACTCGGGAGGCTGAGGCAGGAGAATTGCTGGAACCTGGGAGGCGGAGGTTTCAGTGAGCCGAGATCCTGCCATTTCATTCCAGCTTGGGCGACAAGAGCAAGACTGTGTCTCAAAAAAAAAATAAAAACGAGAGTGCTCAGTAAATGCTAAATGGATGACACTTTGCGCTTTTCGTGGGATTACTGCTTTCATCGTTGAGGGTAGGAGAGGCACGTTTCCCTCTGGCCCGATCTCTTAAGTAGAAGAGGCGTCCTGCAGACAGTGCTGGAAGTGGATACTTAGGCGTGTTTGATGGATTCTTAGATTTTTCTGAATATAAATTGCAAGATCCTCATAGATACGGTTATGGAGGTTACCCCTTGAAATTGAAGTTGGAAGGGAAAAAATAGGTGTGAGAGGGGACAAATGCTAAATTAGATTGAGAACATTTCACTTATTTGTGTAAGTTATTGTGAGAACATTTCACTTATTTGTCAATCTTCACTTTGCAGGTTAGAAAGGCAGTGGATGCGCTCTTGACACATTGCAAGTCCAGGAAAAACAATTACGGGTTGCTTTTGAATGAGAGTGAAAATTTATTTTTAATGGTGGTATTATGGAAAATTCCAAGTAAAGAACTGAGGGTCAGATTGTAAGTTGTGATTTTCTACCTTTGCTGTTTTTATCTGCTTGTTCATTCTTTGTAACTCGAACAATTCCATCGTAGTTTCTAATGGAAACTTTGCAAACTTACAATAAAAATCTGACATGAAGTAAAACAATTACGTCTAAAAGAACCATAAAGGTTTGGCGTGGTGGCTCACACCGGTAATCCTGGTACTTTGGGAGGCCGAGGTGGGCGGATCACCTGAGATCAGGAGTTCAAGACCAGCCTGGCCAACATGGTAAAACCCCGTCTCTCCAAAAATACAAAAATTAGCTGTACATGATGGCGGGTGCCTGTAATCTCAGCTACTGAGAAGGCTGAGGCAGGAGAGTCGCTTGAACCTGGGAGGCGGAGGTCACAGCGAACAGAGATCTCTCCATCGCATTCCAGCCTAGGCGACAGAGCAAGAGTTATCTCAAAAAAATAAAAAGAACTGTAGGAATTCACATGTGCTAAAATTTTCTAGAAATTTCACCAGTTTTTGACTGGGTGCGGTGGCTCACGCCTGTAATCCCAGCACTTTGGGAGGCTGAAGCTGGCGGATCACAAGGTCAGGAGATCGAGACCATCCTGGCTAACACGGTGAAACCCCGTCTCTACTAAACACACACACACACTATCCGGCCGTGGTGACGGGTGCCTGTAGTCCCAGCTACTCCGGGAGGCTGAGGCAGGAGAATGGTGTGAACCCAGGAAGAGGAGCTTGCAGTGAGCTGAGATCCGGCCACTGCACTCTAGTCTGGACGACAGAGCAAGACTCTGTCTCAAAAAAAAAAAAAAAAAAAAAAAGACCAGTTTTCTTAGAGCTTGGTGAACAACTAACGTAATCAGGTCTGTTAAATCGAAAACCTGGTGTTTGAAAGAATAAAGGTGGAGTAAGTTAAACAGCTTCTATTTTTTTTTTTTTATTATTAGAAACCGTTATCTTTCCATGTTAAGCAAAAATTCTTTGGGGCTACAATTTATTCCTTTGTACAGAGACTACTAAAAACTCCAGTGAAGTCCTTTCTATGAAAAAATCCATGGTGATTATACAAAATGTTTCTTCAGAACATAGGTTGTAAGCATAAGAAATGAGTTAAACCCTCTTATTTTATTTTCTGTAAGATGTGGCATAATTGTGTTTGCTGGTCCCGCTTGTTTTATTCCATGTTTTTGGTTTCGATTCTTTTATCTCTTTTTTTTTTTTTTTTTTTTTTAAGACACAGGGTCTTGTGCTGTTGCCTAACTGGAGTGCAGTAGTGAGATCTGTGTTCGCTGCAACGTCGACCTCCCTGACCTGACTCAAGTGATCCTCCCATCTCAGCCTCCCAAGTAGCTGGGACTATAGGTGTATGCCACCATGCCCAGCTAATTTTGAAATTTTTTGTAGAGATGAGGGAGATGAGGTTTCACTGTGTTGTCCAGGCTGATCTCAAACTCAAGCTCAAGCAGTTCTCCTTCTTAGTCTCCCAAAGTGTTGAGATTACAGGCTTTAGCCACGGTGCCCAGCCTGTTTCTTTTTTTTGTTTTGTTTTTGAGACGGAGTCTCGCTCTGTCGCCCAAGCTGGGGTGCAGTGGCCGGATCTCAGCTCACTGCAAGCTCCGCCTCCCAGGTTCACGCCATTCTCCTGCCTCAGCCTCCCGAATAGCTGGGACTACAAGCGCCCACCACCTCACCCGGCTAGTTTTTTGTATTTTTTAGTAGAGACGGGATTTCACTGTGTTAGCCAGGATGGTCTCAATCTACTGACCTTGTGACCCACCCGTCTCGGCCTCCCAAAGTGCTGGGATTACAGGCTTAGCCACCGTGCCTGGCCTGTTTCAATTCTTAAAAGTTATGTTGTGCTGGGCACGGTGGCTTGTCACTGTAATCCCAGCACTTTGGGAGGTAAGGTAGGTGGATCACTTGAGGCCCGGGAATTTGAGATCAGCCTGAACAACATGGCGAAACCCTATCTCTACTAAAAATACAAAAATTAGCCGGGCATGATGGTGGGCATCTGTAATCCCAGCTGCTTGGGAGGCTGAAGCACAAGAATCATTTGAACCCAGAAGGCAGAGGTTGCAGAGACTCCAGCCTGGGCAACAGTGAGACTCCCATCTTAAAAAAAAAAAAAAAAAAAAAAAAGTTGGCCGAGCTATAATCTCAGCAGTTTGGGAGGGTGAGGCAGGTGAATTGCATGAGCCCACAAATTCAAGACCAGCGTAGGCTATGCAGCAAAATCCTGTCTCTGCGAAAAATACAAAAGTTAGCTGGGGGCCCAACTGGTACGCGCCTGGAGTCTCAACTGTGCTGGAGGCTATCGTGAGCTGTGGTCACACCACTGCGCTCCAGCCTTGGCGACTGAGCAAAACCCTGTCTCAAAAAAAAAGAAAAGAAGAAAGAGTTATTCTGTTTATGGAGTTGAGTTTTAGAGAAGGTAAAATTCTGAACCAGGCCTGTCCTGATTAAGCTAGGTTATTATAGCACATTAGAGTACGTGTGCACATACAGCAACAGATACATCATCATAATTACATATGCAAGAATTTGGATGTCTTTGAGTATATTTTAATTCTTGCTATATCCCAAGTGTTAATTGATATTTGGGCCTGTGTGTACTTGTCATTTATTTGCCATTGAAAGTGAGTTTTGTTTTTTATTTTGGTTTTGGCTTTTTGAGACGGAGGTTGCCTCTTGTTACCCAGGCTGGAGTCCAGTGGTGCCATCTTGGCTCACTGCAACCTCCACCTCCCGGGTTCAAGCGATTTTCCTGCCTCAGACTCTCAAGTAGCTGGGATTACAGGCGCCCACCACTGCCCCTGGCTAATTTTTTACACTTTTAGTAGAAATGCAGTTTCACCATGTTGGCCGGCTGGTCTCGAACTCCTGACCTCAGGTGATCCATATGCCTTGGCCTCCTAAAGTCCTGGGATTACAGGCTTGAGCCACTACTACTAGCCATAAAATATATTTTTAAATGTTGTTTGTGGTGCAATATTTGCTTAACTAGCATGACTAAAGGTTATTTAAATGACACTAAGTTTATTGTGTATTCTATGTGATACAAACATGCATAATGTGTGTAATAATGCTTTCCTCGGTTTCTTTTCACATATTTTGTAGGACCTTGCCTCATAGCATTCGATCAGATTCAGAAGATATCTGTTTATTTACAAAGGACGAACCCAATTCAACTCCTGAAAAGACAGAACAGTTTTATAGAAAGCTTTTAAACAAGCATGGAATTAAAACCATTTCTCAGGTAGGAAGCCTGGTTAATATTTTCAAGAGGATTTAATTCAGTCAAAATGATGTCACAAATACATTGCCATATTTCTTAGTATTTTTCTTCTACTTTTCTCTATTTAATTTAATTTGTGGTGGCGTGTATGTCAGTAGCTTTTGTATCTTGCAAATTATAAAAGAGGTGGCTCGTGTCATTCCTCTGTACTTCCACAGCATCTTGTTTTTCTCTGATTTGCTGTTTTGTAGTTGGTGTACTTATCTTTATTACCCACTGGATCTAAGGTATCAAAGTTTTTTTTTGTTTGGAGTCTCGCTCTGTCGCCCAGGCTGGAATGCAGTGGCAGGACCTTGGCTGACTGCAACTCTACCTCCTGGGTTCAAGCTATTTTCCTGCCTCAGCTGCCCGAATAGCTGGAATTACAGGCACCCAGCATCATGCCTGGCTAATTTTTATATTTTTGTAGAGACGAGGTTTCAATATGTTGGCCAGGCTGGTCTTGAACTCCTGACCTCTGGTGATCCGGCCACCTCGGCCTCCCAAAGGGCTGGTGTTACAGGCATGAGCACATACAGCAATATATGTATAACAATATATATATGTTGCTGACCTGTATCTAAGTTTCTTTAGCTGGGGCCCTTTCTCATTTGTCTCAGTGTCTCCAGCATGTAGCATAGTGCCTGGCACGTTTTAGGCACTCATGTGTTCATTAAAGTATAAGAGGCATGGCTCTAGGACTTTTTTTAATCCAAATACAAATTGTTGCCTAAGTATTTCTTCCCTCGTTTAGATTCCTAACTTTTTGTTTTTATTCTTCTCTATACTTCCTAGATTATCTCCCTTCAAACTCTAAAGAAGGAATATAAATCCTATGAAGCCAAGCTCCGCCTTCTGAGCAGTTTTGACTTCTTCCTTACTGATGCCAGAATTAGGCGGCTCTTACCCTCACTCATTGGGAGACATTTCTATCAAAGAAAGAAGTAAGTTTCTTAGTAATGACGAGACTTTAGCAGCATGAAGTTTCTAGGTGTGTAAGCATTGTGTTCTGAATGCCTGTGTGTTTTTTATAGAGTTCCAGTATCTGTAAACCTTCTGTCCAAGAATTTATCAAGAGAGATCAATGACTGTGTAGGTGGAACGGTCTTAAACATTTCTAAAAGCGGTTCTTGCAGGTAGGTAAAAGGCATTCATATGTGCCTCCTTTAATCTTGTATTTGACAATGATTTTATATACTTTTTAAAAAGATTTTGTTAATGGCTCCAGATCTTTTTTAGAACTAAAATCTGTTCCTCAGAAGTGATCCATTCTCAGGTCAGGTGCAGTGGCTTATGCCTGTAATCCCAGTACTTTGGGAGGCCGAGGCAGGAGGATCGCTTGAGCCCAGGAGTTCAAGTCCAGCTTGGGCAACATAGTGAGACCCCCTCCCCAACTTACAGAAAAATCAAGAACATTAGCCAGGTGTAGTTCTGCATCCATGTGCTCCCAGCTACATGGGAGGCTGAGGCAGGAAGATCACTTGAGCCCACGAGGTCAAGACTGCAGTGAGTCATGTTCTTGTCACTGTCCTCCAGCCTAAATGACAGAGCAAGAGTGTCTTTTAATGAAAAAAGAAAAAAAAGTTCAGTTCTCTAGAACAATGTTGTCTGGTAGAACTTTCTACTGTGATGGAAATGGTCTGCATCTGTGCTGTCTCATACAGTAGGCACTACTTGTATGTAGCTATTGAGCACTTGAAATGTGGCTACTGTGTTAGGAACTGAATTTTAAATTTAAAATAGGCACATGTGGCTAGTGGCTGATGGTCACTGCGTTGAACAGGGCAGCTCCAGATACTAAGGAAAGCAAAGAGAGTAAGATGAATGCTTGGAGAACATGACTAGTTCTGGGCTTTCAGCTTGTCCTCTATTTACCGTGCTACTGCACTCTGGTGCAATCACAGTTCACTGCAACCTCCAACTCCTTGGCTCAAGCAATCTTCCCACCTCAGCCTCCTCAGTAGCTGGGACTACAGGCACATGCCACCATACCTGGCTAATTTTTCAATGTTTTATAGAGGCGGGGTCTCACTATGTTGCCCCGTCTGGACTTAAACCCTTGGACAAAACTAGTCCTCCGGTCCTGGCCTCCAAAAGTGTTGAGATTATAGACCATGCCTGGCCTCAGCTTGTCCTTTAAAAGCATCATATTACCCCTTAAAGTGAAGATCCACCTCATTCTTGGTTCAACTTCCTATTAAATGAATTCAGCATTTACCCTGTTCATCCACCTGTTTGGTGTCTGTGTTGTTGTATTGGTTTAACCTTACTCAGGACACTGAGCTAGGCGGAGCCCCCACACCTAGTCTACTAGAACAGATGTTTTAGGTCAGTGATTGCTTCCGACCTCTGGCTGAGCAGAGGATGTGGCTCAGGCTATTTTATTAGGCTGAGAAATGGGTTAAGTTTGTATTCTTGGCAGTGTACCAGCTTGGGGGGTAGGGCAGGTTTTAAATGTATTGAAAATACATTTTATGAAGTACTTCACCTTGCTGACTGCGGTGTGGAGATGGGTAGCTACCAGTAGGACAGAGCTGTAGGCCACTGCCCTTCCACCCAGAGATTCCCCAGGAGCCATGCATACTCAGTGGTCACACTCGGCAGAAAACACAGATTTCTTACCTCTGCTCACCAGGGAGGCCTGACCCCAGCAGAGTGTCTCCAGGTAGAGCAGAGCAGGGTGCGGATGGGCAGGACAGGTGGTCTCTGGCATTGTCTTCTGCATGCCGCGGGGAAGCCCTTAATCAGGTGTAATGAAGTAGCTGAGAAGAGTTAGCCACGGGGCCTGGACCCCTGTCCTTTTGGTTAAAGGCGGATGATGTCAAAGCAGTGGCTCATGGAACTGGTTGGCCAGAAGTCAGGCCGTGTTTATGGGCCCCATCAGTACCTGGGAGGAGGAGATGGCACCAGGAAGGCAGGTAAAGGAGTCTCCTACCACTGGGGATCTTCCAAGGCAAAAGCATCAGCTTAAAGGAAGTTGCAGACAACTGAGAAAAAAAATCATTCTTTTATTTCCTCTCTTACCTTTCCCCAGCATAATAATTTATTTTCCTCTTCCACTTCTGTTCCTCTCTCTTCTTACCCCCTCACCATCTTTCTCTCTGGGATGCTCAGGTGTGCTTGCAGGCAGGTGGTAACAAGCACAGGGATTGGGCAGTACCCAGTCTTTGGCTGAAGAGAGAGGAGCAACAGCCTGTCTCATCCTCATTCCGCAGACACTGTGCCGACAGTGAGCCTGCCTTTTGGCCCCAGCGCTGACCCCTCCAGGTTTCTCACTGGGCTTCTGCCTGCACTCTCTTTCACCTGAAGGGATGATCTTGATCATAGCTGAAAGACACTGTTCCACCAGGGACAAGAACTGTTTATTCTTGAACATGGCAGCTGGGTGGAGCAGTAGAACTATAGAGAGAGCAGGTGGCGCTCCTGGAGGTAGCTCCCCTTAGAACAGCTTGAAGGCAGACTCAGCGACATGGGTTTGTCTAAGATAAAGGTAGAACCTGCTCTGCCCCTGCCTCCCAATGCTCCTTAGCCTCACAGTCAGGTGCTACCAGGTCTTTAATCACCCCCTCAGCTGGGCATGGTGGCTCACGCCTGTAATCCCAGCACTTTGGGAGACTGAGGTGGGTGGATCACTGGAGGTCTGGTGTTCAAGACCAGCCTGGCCAACACGGTGAAACCCCATCCCTACTAAAATATACAAATTAGGCTGTGCGCAGTGGTTCAAGCCTGTAGTCCCAGCACTTTGGGAGGCCGAGGCAGGTGGATCACCTGAGGTCAGGAGTTTGAAACCAGCCTGACCAACATGGAGAAACTCCGTCTCTACTTAAAAAAGAAAAAAATACAAAAAATTAGCCGGGCGTGGTGGCACATGCCTGTAATCCCAGCTACTCGGGAGGCTAAGGCAGGAGAATCGCTTGAACCCAGGAGGTGGAGGTTGTGGTGAGCCAAGATCACACCATTGCACTCCAGCCTAGGCAACAAGAGCGAAACTCCATCTCAAAAAAAGAAAAAAAAATTAGCTGTGCGTGGTGGTGTGCGCCTGTAATCTCAGCTACTAGGGAGACTGAGGCAGGAGGATTGCTTGAACCCAGGAGGCGAAGGTTGTAGTGGGCCGAGATCACGTCACTGCACTTCAGCCTGGGCGACAGAGCAAGACTTCATCTCAAAAAAAAATCACCCCCTCATGATGTGACATTTTACTTTAGGTAGAAGGAATTTCTAGTACATGAAAGATGATAATCTTCCTTTAAAATACATTTAGGCCAGGCATGGTGGCTCATGCCTGTAATCCCAGCACTTTGGGAGGCCAAGGCAGGAGGATCACTTGAGCCCAGGAGTTTAAGACCAGCCTGGTGGATCACTTGAGCCCAGGAGTTCAAGACCAGCCTGGTGGATCACTTGAGCCCAGGAGTTCAAGACCAGCCTGGTGGATCACTTGAGCTCAGGAGTGAGAACCCATCTCTACAAAAAATACAAAAATCCACTGGGCTACCTGTAGTCCCAGCTACTCCAATTAAGTGCAGTACGTTGATTGTGCCACTGCACCTCAGCCTGGGCAACAAGAAAACACTGTCTCAAAAATAAAATATATTTAGAACCTAAAGATTTTAATGGGTTTTTGTTGTTGTTGTTTTTCAGACTGTTTTGCTCTGTTACCCAGGCTGGAGTGCAGTTGCCGGATCTGGGCTCACTGTAGCCTTGAGCTCCTGGGCTCAGGTGATTTTTCTGCCTTAGCATCCTGAGTAACTGGGATTACAGGCATGTACCACCATGCCCAGTTAATTTTTGTTAGTGTGGTAGAGACAGGATTTTGCCATGTTGCCCAGGCTTAATGTTTCTACCTTTTTAAAAGAAAAGAAAAAAAACTTGAGAATTATGTATTTATATTTCTCATATACCTGCCTGGTTTATTTTGAAAAATGATTTTTTAAAATCTTGTCTAATACTTTTAAATTTCAGTGCTATACGTATCGGTCACATTGGAATGCAAATTGAGCACATCATTGAAAACATTGTTGCTGTCACCAAAGGACTTTCAGAAAAATTGCCAGAGGTACAGTATTGCAGGAGCATCAATTGATTGTTCATTTAAAAGAAACAAAGTATATGTAGATGATTGTTCATTTAAAAGAAACAAAGTATATGTAGACGATGTTACTCTTTTCTTTGTTTCAGAAGTGGGAGAGCGTGAAACTCCTGTTTGTGAAAACTGATAAATCGGCTGCGCTTCCCATCTTTTCCTCGTTTGTCAGCAATTGGGATGAAGCCACCAAAAGATCTATGCTTAATAAGCGGAAAAAAGTTAGTAGAATTTTAAATACTTATAGAATGAATAATGAAGGGTGTAAACTCAGTCCCTAGGAGAGAGAAGTAGACCATCGTCCCTGCCTGACTTTCCAGTTGTCTTCTGGTTTTCTGGTGGTTATGCTTTTGTCACTTTACATGAAGTAGTTGATATTAGTATCAGTAATGCATGTTAAGATAGAAATATCTTGTATTTATTGATAAATTGGGTGTGTTTTTAACTTTTGTTAGATCCAGTGCTTGCTGATTTTGTTTAGAGAGACAGTGTCTCACTCTGTTCCCCGGGCTGGAGCACAGTGACGCAGTCAAGGCTTACTGAAGCCTTGACCTCCTGGGGTCAAACAATCCTGTGTCAGCCTTCCAAGTAGCTGGGACTACAGGCATGGTCCACCACGCCCAGCTAATTTTTAATTTTTTTTTTTTTTTGTACAGACATGGTCTCCCTGTTTCTCAGGCTGATCTTGAATTCTTGTGCTCAAGCAACCGGCCTGCCTTGGCCTCCCAAAATGCTGGGATTACAGGCAAGAGCTACTATGCCTGGCCTGGATTAACTGGCTTTTGAGGGGGCCTGAGTTAAGTTCTTACCACATATTTCCAGTCGTAGATAACATCACCATACGTCTAAATAAAGACCAAAACGCTTAAAACATTGAAATAAATGTGAGATATATATACATTTGAAACAGTAATAAAAGGGATTGACATAATTATTTACCCAGTTATTCCCATCCCGGGTTGTAGGTGGCTGGAGTTTAATCTTTTTTTTTTTTTTTTTTTTTTTTTGAGACGGAGTCTCGCTGTGTCTCCCAGGCTGGAGTGCAGTGGCGTGATCTCGGCTCACTGCAAGCTCCGCCTCCCGGGTTCACGCCATTCTCCCGCCTCAGCCTCCCAAGTAGCTGAGACTACAGGCGCCCGCCACCACGCCCGGCTAGTTTTTTTTTTGTATTTTTAGTAGAGACGGGGTTTCACCATGTTAGCCAGGATAGTCTCGATCTCCTGACCTCGTGATCCACCCGCCTCGGCCTCCCAAAGTGCTGGGATTACAGGCTTGAGCCACCGCGCCCGGCCTGGAGTTTAATCTTGACAGCTCAGGGAAAAGAGTGACAGGCACGAGCCATCCCTAGAAAAGGCGCTGTTTGATCACAGTACAAACTCGTACACCCGCATTCATGGGGCCTAGGGATGATTTCAACACACCAGTTCACCTGATGTGCACACACATGGGTATGGGAGATTATGCTCACAGATACCTCCTGGGCTTGGTTTGTAGGTTTTCAGTATTAATTGTACTCTAGCAAAAGAAGCTTTTGGAAGGAAAGAAAATTTAATTTTTGCTATTTGTTAGACTGATCTCCTAGTGTTCCTCTCTTTAGCCATGTTAAGTGTGTCCAATGAATTTTTAATTTTGTTTTTGAGACAGTTTTGCTCTGTCGCCCAGGCTGGAGTGTAGTGGCATGATCTCAGCTCACTACAACCCCTGCCTTCCAAGTTCAGATGATTCTCTGTGCCTCACCGTCCTGAGTAGTTGGGACTACAGGCACGCATCACCATGCCCAGCTAATTTTTGTGTTTTTAATAGAGATGGGGTTTCACCATGTTGACCAGGCTGATCTCGAAGTCCTGACCTCAAGTGATCCTCCTGCCTCAGCCTCCCTGAGTGCTGTGATTACAGGCATGAGCCACCACGCCCAGCTGAGGATTATTCTTTACACTCTCTAAACCATACTGTGTTTCACAAAAGTCTCTTAACTATATGCTTTAGATAGTCAGATTCTGAAATGCCAGTATATAATTTACTGCGTAAAATGCATGTTTGGCTGTGAGTCAAAAACTGCGGTTGAGGTTCCAGTGCTGGTTAAGGAGTTTGTTCTTTGTACAGATCAAAGTCCATTCAGGGGCTTATGGATAATCAAAACTGCAAGTGGTAAATCTATGCCGTTTGTTAACCAGCAGAACTGTTCCTGCTAAAGTGTTTGTATGGTGTTTTTTGGTAGGAGGCAAGGAGAAAACGAAGAGAGAGAAATTTTGAAAAACAAAAGGAGAGGAAAAAGAAGAGGCAGGCTAGGAAGTCTGCATCAGTTCTTAGTAAAGATGATGTGGCACCTGAAAGTGGTGATACTACAGTGAAGAAACCTGAATCGAAGAAGGAACAGACCCCAGAGCATGGGAAGAAAAAACGTGGCAGAGGAAAAGCCCAAGTTAAAGCAACAGATGAATCCGAAGATGAAATTCCACAGCTGGTACCAGTAGGAAAGACGACTCCAGCTAATGAAAATGTAGAGGTATTGTTTTAATATTTACTGTTCATAATGGATTGGTTTAGTGGCTACTGTGTCAGGCAGGTACTGTGCTGATGAAAAATACTAGAGTGAACCCAAAGAACAATGAAAGTGATTATCATATGATTTATTGTACTTTTTTTCTTTTCTTTTTTTTTTTTTTTTTTTTGAGATGAAATCTTGTTATATTGCCCAGACTGGTCTTACACTTCTGGGGTCAAAACAGTCATCCCACCCCGGCCTGCCAAAGTGCTGAGATTACAAGTGTGAGTCACCACACCTAGCCCCAACCAGTTGGCTTTTTTTTTTTTTTTGCTTTGGTTTTTTTTGAAGATGGAGCCTCAATCTGTCACCCAGGCTGGAGTGCAGTGGTGTGATCTCAGCTCACTGCAACCTCTGCCTCCCTGGTTCAAGCAATTCTCCTTCCTCAGCCTGCCAAGTAGCTGGGATTATAGGCGTATACCACCACACCCAGCTAATTTTTGTGTTTTTAGTAGAGACGGGGTTTTGCACGTTGACTAGGCTTGTCTCGAACTCCTGGCCTCATGTGATCCGCCCGCCTCAGCCTCCCAGAGTGCTGGGATTACAGGCATGAACCACCGCACCCAGCCACCAGTTGGCTTTTACACAGAGAATTTGGGAACCCCTGCCCTACACCATGTGCCAGGGATGTGCAGCTACAGTTGGAGGACTCAGGATTTGCTCCCATGTGTGTCTGCTGTGCTCCTCATGGTGCTTCCAGGAGTCTCTCCCCTCAGTCGTAGGGAAAGGTGGTTTTCCTCTGACTGGACCAGGAAGACCTCTGGGTCTTCACAATTCTTTTTTTTTTTTTTTTGAGACAAGGTCTCACTTTGTTGCCCAGGCTGGAGTGCAGTGGCATGATCTCGGCTCACAGCAGCCTCCACCTTTCAGGCCCAAGCAATTCTCATGCCTCAGCCTCTTGAGTAGTTGGGATTACAGATAAGTGCCACCATGCCCGGCTACTTTTTGTATTTTTAGTAGAGACGGGGTTTCACCATGTTGACCAGCCTGCTCTTGAACTCTTGGCCTGAAGTGATCCACCTGCCTCAGCCTCCCATAGTGCTGGGATTACAGACATGAGCCACTGCACCTATCCCTCATTCTTAATAGTGAAATACAGCTTATCTCTGTCATCATACTGAGGTGTACCTTTTGGGGGTTAACTAATAAAAACAGTACCTTGGCCATGTGCTGAAAAAGAGTAACTTGGCCGGGCACAGTGGCTCACGCCTGTAATATAGCACTTTAGGAGGCCAAGGCAAGTGGATCACCTTAGGTCAGGCGTTCGAGACCAACCTGGCCAACATAGTGAAACCCTGTTTCTACTAAAAATAAAAAAAAATGAGCAGGGCGTGGTGGCACGTGCCTATAATCCCAGCTACTCGGGAGGTGGAGGTTGCAGTGAGCTGAGATGGTGCCATTGCACTCTAGCATGGGCAGCAAGAGCGAAACTCCGTCTCAAAAATAATAAAAATAAAAACAGTAACTCCTGGAGTTAGAGTGTCAGGTGTTGTGGCTTTTTCTGTATTAAACTTTCTTTTTTTTTTCCTAGATTCAAAAACATGCCACAGGAAAGAAGTCTCCAGCAAAGAGTCCTAATCCCAGTACACCTCGTGGGAAGAAAAGAAAGGCCTTGCCAGCATCTGAGACCCCAAAAGCTGCAGAGACCCCAGGGAAAGGCCCAGGGAAGAAGCGAAAGATCAAAGAAGAGGCAGTGAAGGAAAAAAATCCTTCACTGGGGAAAAAAGATGCGAGACAGACTCCAAAAAAGCCAGGGGCCAGGTTCTTCACCACTCTTAGTAAATCTGTGAGAAAAGCTTCCCACACCCCCAAAAAATGGCCCAAAAAACCCAAAGTACCCCAGTCGGCCTAAAGTCAGTGATTCAGCCGGAAGGAAACTTCAGTGCTGCCTCCAGAGCTTCTTAGAAATACTCAGCTCTTGACCCCCTTTATAAGTAACCTTCTGCAAACGTCAGGCCTGGACTTCGATTTTTTAAAACCTCCATAAGTAGTCCAGGCGCAGTGCCTCATGCCTGTAATCCCAGCACTTCAGGAGGTCGAGGCGGGTGGATCATAAGGTCAAGAGATTGAAACCATCCTGGCCAACATGGTGAAACTCCATCTCTACTAAAAATACAAAAATTAATTGGGCATGGTGGCGAGCGCCTGTAACCCCAGCTACTAGGGAGGCTGAGGCAGGAGAATTGCCTGATCCTGGGAGGCAGAGATTGCAGTGAGCCGAGATTGAGCCACTGCACTCCAGCCTGATGACAGAACGAGACTCCATCTCAAAAATAAATAAAAATAATAAAACCTCCATAAATAATTTTGACACATGTTCCTGGGTATAATAATATATTTTTAAATTGTCCTTCTGTGTATTTGCTAATACAATAGAGGAAAAATAGAGTGCTTCTCTGTGGTGGTTCAGCACTTTGGGAAGCCAAGGTGGGAGGATTGCTTGAGCCCAGGAGTTTAGGACTATCCTGGGCAACTTGGTGAAACCCCATCTCTACAAAAGAAAAAAAAATAGTGTGGCATGGTGGTGTGCACCTGTGCTCTCAGGCTGAGGTGGAAGGATCAAGTGAGCACAAGAGGTCGAGGCTACAGTGAGCCACCATCACCCCACTGTGCTCCAGCCTGGGTGACTGTGAGATTCCGTCTCAGAAAAAAGTATAACGTTGCTTTGCTTCTGAGTAGACACACTGTTGGCTTTCCAAATCACGTGGGTCTGACTGGAGGTCTGGGATGTGACCCATCACATACATTTGTGGTCATCCCCAAAGTGGCCCAGTGAGGGCCTCACTGTATGAGAATACAGCTACAGAATTCAGGAGAAGCATGAGTTTCTTGGCTCTCATGCTGAGTTTGTTGGTCTAAGCTTAAGAGTCACTGGATTAGCATCCATATGGGAAGGGAAATTAACATGGAGTCATTTATACAGGCACTGAATTGAATCCTACCTACTGGAGGCAAGAACGTGATTTATCTTCCATAAGCCTTCCCCTCTTCCTCGTTATTCCTCAGTCCATATGGACTTGCTTATATATGACAACTCCAAGGAAACTTGGGAGAGTAGACTACTGAAGTTTCCACAATTGTCAAGTATATTCTGAGGCGGTAAACTTTTTAGGTACTCGGCCTTTCACTGGTTGTGAATTGGTATGCATCTGTAGTAGTAAGCTACAGATTCACTGCAGTGCAGGAATGTGCTTGCATGCAAAAGAGTGTAACTGCTTTCAGAGATGATGTGGGTGCCAGGTGCAGTGGCTCACATCTGTAACCCTGTTGGAGTGATCAGACCCAACACCAGGTCGTGAGGGTGACGAAGTCTGGCGGAGTCAAAGGATTGAGAAAAAATCTGAGAGAGAGAAAAGTGGGACCGGGGACCATCGCCATTGTGGAGGCTGCGAAGGCCCTGAGCACTGGGAGCCCATGCTGTTATTGGTAATCCAACAAAGAAACAGGTGGTGAGAATGTGGAGGTGGAAAGGGCGCGTTGCATTAAGCACATGATTTACAGCTGTGATGGTTTAGCATTTGTTCTGCTACTTGAGATAATGGAGAGCAGGTTGTTTTAACTGAAGATACAATTGATCCTGGGAGAACAAGGAGCCAGCAAGTCTAGACACGTTCCAGAGCGACAAGCCCTGGATTCTATCCAAGCCACGAGGGATTTTATGCCCTGGGCTTAGATTATGGCGCATCAGGGTAGCCTTTCACCCTTTAGCACAGAGCTTGGTGTTCCAAAGGCCACAAGGGGTTTTAGACCCTGGACCCCGGACATGTTCCAAGACTCTTACATTGTGTCAGACATGCAAGCCCTGCCTCAGCTTCTCCCAACACTCAGCTTTTCCCAACATAATCCCAGCACTTGGAAGGCTGGGTGGATTGCTTGAGCCTAGGAGTTTGAGACCATCCTGGGCAACATGGCAAAACCACATCTCTACCAAAAATAAGCTGGGTGTATTTGGCACATGCCTATGGTCCCAGCTACTTGGGAGGCTGAGGTGGGAGGACTGCTTGAATCTGGGAGGTAGAGGCTGCAGTGGGCCATGATCACGATCTTGTACTCCAGCCTGGGCAACAGAGACAATCCCTGGCCTGCCGCCCCCTCCCCTGGCCCAGTCTCAAAAAAAAAAAAAAATTCTGGGCATGGTGGCTCACATCTGTAATCCCAACCATGGCTGGCAGATCACTTGAGGCCAGGAGATCTGAGATCAGCCTGGCTAACATGGTGAAACCCCATCTCTACTAAAAATACAAAAACTAGCCAGGCGTCGTGGGAGGCCTGGGATCCCAGCTACTTGGGAGGCTGAAGCAGGAGAATCACTTTAACCCAGGAGGTGGAGGTTGCAGTGAGCCGAGATCACACCACTGCATTCCAGCCTGGGTGGCAGAGCAAAACTGAGTAAAAAGAAAACAGATCTGTAGCTCTCCCTCAAGTTAGAGGAGTCTAGCCTGCTTTTAGTTTTTTGGAGGGGGTGGGGGGGGCGGGTGCGGGCAGTGGGGGAGATGGTCTTACTGTTTCCCAGGCTGGAGTGCACTAGTGCCATCACAGTTCCAGCCTCAATCTCCTGGGCTCAAGGCCATCCTCCCACCTCAGCCTCCCAAGTAGCTCAGACTACAGGGGCATGCCATCACACCTGGCCAATTTTTACGTATGTTGTAGAGATGGGTTTTCCCTGTATTCCCGAGGCTGGCCTTGAACTCCTGTCCTCAAGTCCTCCTGCCTCAGCCTCCCGAAATGTTCAGATTACAGGCGTGAGGCGCCATGCCCAACCTGCTTTTGCATTTTAGTAACACGAATTGTAATGTTAACTTTTTAAATTATGAAACCCTCTAAAATATAAAATTATTTGTAACCCCACTGTCCTTTCAGGCTTCTATAAATGAATATACATTTAAAATGTGGGAGTTTAGCTTAATTGATTTGTTTTCCATAGAAACTAGGTTCTATGGTTAGATAGACTTGTTTCACTTAAAGATCTGATTTGTGTAGGACAAATCCACATACATAATCATGCCAGTCTGTTCTCTGCATGACATAATTTTCCAGCAATAGCTGTGTGGGTTTTGTAATCGTATCCTCTAGCCAGTTCAAGATTTTGCAACACTATGTGATTCTTTGCCCCGTAGTTCAGTCTTGTTGAATATGACACAGGTGTTTACCTTCCTGTTCTTGCATCTAGTTTCATTCTAATAATATTCTCTGTTGAAAAAGCCGGCTTCAATTTATTGAGCAAGATGCTGGTATTATCATCTAACATAAAGCTTATCTTATAATAAAGTGTTGACAAATGTAATGAATACTGTACTAAAAGTAAAAAACAATGGTTGTGTGTGTATGGTTTCTACTGATTATGTATCACTCTTATACCATCATAAAGTTGAAAAATCATAAAGTTGAATCATCTTAAGATGGGTATGTTCTGTACTAGGTTTCCAAGGCTTCAGAAGTGTTGCATACACATTCCTAGCCAGCTGATAGTGCTAGGAGCTGATAGTAGTCTCCCCGGGGGCTAAGAGGAGGACCATAAATCTCTACTATGGTATATGATGCTCTTGTGTGCTCTTGTGGGCAAAGTATGAGGCTGATATTTCATTGTTGGCCCTGGGTTTCTGGAATCCATCCTCTTCACCAGGGAGATTTAATGAACGAAATGAGATCTGATGGGAGAAATTCTAGTGTAACATTTTTGTTCTGAAGGAAGTAATTGAGTTTTAGTTCATTTGTTTTTTCAGGAATCATAATAATTTAAATTTCACTTTACATGCCATGAATGTATTTAAGTCAATCCAACTGCTAAACATCACATTGTGGCTGGGCGCGGTGGCTCACGCCTGTAATCCCAGCACTTTGGGAGGCTGAAGTGGGCAGATCACCTGAGGTCGGGAGTTCGAAACCAGCCTAGCCAACATGGCAAAATCTCGTCTGTACTAAAAGTACAAAAATTAGCCGATGTGGTAGTGGGCATCTGTAATCCCAGCTACTCAAGAGGCTAAGGCAGGAGAATCGCTTGAACCCAGGAGGCAGAGGTTGCAGTGAGCCAAGATCACGCCACTGCGCCCCAGCCTGGGTGACAGAGTGAGAATCCATCAAAAAAAAAAAAAAAAAAAAAAAAAGGCTGGGTGCGGTGGCTGACGCCTGTAATCCCAGCACTTTGAGAGGCCAAGGCGGGGGAATCATGATGTCAGGAGACTGAGACCATCCTGGCTAATACGGTGAAACCCCGTCTCTACCAAAACTACAAAAAATTTGCTGGGCGCAGCAGCGTGCGCCTGTCGTCCCAGCTATTCGGGAGGCTGAGGCAGGAGAATGGCATGAACCCGGGAGGTGGAGCTTGCAGTGAGCCAAGATCATGCCGCTGCACTCCAGCCTGGGCGACAGAGCAAGACACCATCTCCAAAAAAAAAAAATTGTATTTTGGTCTCCTTGAGAAATACTAAAATGAGGGTACCAAGAAATTGCTCTACTTTCTGTATATGGGTGTTTAAGAGCCAAGAAATCTTGCCATTTAGTTAAATATTTGAAAGTTCTGCACTACCTACATTTTTTTTTCTGATATTGTCACGGTTTTCTTGCCTACAGATAGTATTAATATTGAAATACCAAGATTCCCAATTTGGACTTTATGAGCCATGAGAAACCTTCATCAGTCCTTGGATCCTGAGGAAATTAGTGCATCTGATCAAAGACTATGAATAAAATTTTGGTTGTGGGGATTATTTCAGTATAGTGGTCCTGGAGAGAAAAAATGGCAAATTATTTAGGTGGTTCTATTTAACCCCAGATTATAACACTGCAGTCCAATGCTTAAAATGATTAGTATATGTTTATGTAACTCTGCTGGGTCCTTTTCTTTTTCTTTCTTTTTCTTTTCTTTTTTTTTTTTTTTTTTGAGATGGAGTCTTGCTCTTGTCACCCAGGCTGGAGTGCAATGGCGCGATCTCAGCTCACTGCAACCTCTGCCTCCCGGGTTCAAGTGATTCTCATACCTCAGCCTCCTGAGTAGCTGGGATTATAGGCGCATGACACCATGCCCGGCTAATTTTTGTATTTTTAGTAGAGATGGGGGCTTCACCATCTTGGCCAGTCTGGTCTTGAACTCCTGACCTCGTGATTCACCTGCTTCGGTGTCCCAAAGTGCTGGTATTATAGGCATGAGCCACCACACCTGGCCTCAATTTTTAAATAAAATTAAAATAAATTTTAAAAAAATTCCACACTTAAACACTTACAGATTTTACCTGTAAGACAGGTTCTCACTTTTTTGCCCAGGCTGGAGTGCAGTGGCACGATCATGGCTCAGTGCAGCCTTGACCTCCTAGGCTCAAGTGATCCTCCAACCTCAGCCTCCTGAGTAGCTGGGACTACAAGTGGGCACCACTATGACCAGCTAATTTAAAAAAAGTATATATATATATAAGAGATGGAGTATCTCGGGGGCTGGGCATGATGCTCACACCTATAATTCCAGCACTTTGGGAGGCCAAGGTGGGTGGATCACCTAAGGTCAAGAGTTTGAGACCAGCCTGGCCAACATGGTGAAACCTCATCTCTACTAAAAATCAATACAAAATTAGCTGGGTGTGGTGGTGCACACTTGTAGTCCCAGCTACTTTGGGAGCCTGAGACAGGAAAATCACTTGAACCCAGGAGGTGAAGGTTGCAGTGAGCCGAGAAGGTGTCACTGCACTCCAGCCTGGGCGACAGAGGGAGACTCCATCTAAAAAAAAAAAAAAAAAATTGAGTATCTCATTATGTCGTCCACTTTGAACTCCTGGCCTCTAGTGATCCTCCCACCTCAGCCTGCTAAAGTGCTGGGATTATAGGCATGAGCTACTGTGCCTGACCAGTGCTTATTTTTTATCTCCAAAATGGGATTAGTATCACAAAATATTTTAATGCCTTCTGCACCCTTTAGTCTGTAAATAAAACCTGTAAATAATAATACACAGTTCCACTTCCTAAACATAAGCTCAGTTAATATTTAATATCTTGATTTTTTTACAGTATTTTTTCCTATGCTTATTTTTCTCCCTTTGTTTCCTTCTGGTCTATATTTTCCAAGATTCCTGCAATGGTATGATTTTGTAGTGAACAAATGCCAGCCCTCCTTCAACTCATCCCTCTGAAATGTCTATTATTAAGAGCATGGTAAAAATATTTAAAGATCCCTGGTCGGGGTGGGTGGTGTTTCTGAAAAATGCACACTCCCGGTCCGACTGCAGACCTGCTTAACTGGAATTACTGTATACATGTGGAACTTAGGAATCTGTGTTTTGACCAAGAGGCCAGGTGATTCTTCTGCTCAGTTAGTGCTGGGAAACAGTGCTGTGAAGGATACAGTGGCTAGAAGTCGTCCTGCCTCACAGTAACATCGTTACCAAATTCTCAGCAGGTGAACCAAATGAAATGCTCAACTAAAAACCAACCAGGGTAAAACAGATCTTTTATTTGTTGTTGTTGTTATTATTATTATTATTTTACGTGGGGGCTTTCAAGCGAACTGCTATATGGATTTACCCCCAGTCTCTCCTTGTGAGAAGTGAATTTCTTCAACGTTTATAGAACTGAGGGATTACATTATTGCATGAATTAAGAAAACAATCTAACCTGATGTGTGAAGATTTCTGCTTGTGAGAATCCGTGTTTTTTCAATTATCCAATCAAGAGCCTAATTCGTATAAAAGAAACACAGCATCACGTTGCTCATCTTTTTATCTAAGACGGTTTGTGTTGACGGAGGGTGTCCAGCTGTTTGGGGAAACTATTCCTGACCTTATTTTGCTAAAAAGTTGCCTGCCGTAACAGGTGAGAGACGTTTATCATTTCTTTTATAAAACTTTTAGCTTGCTCTTTGTTAACTTGAAAGTCACTTAAAAGGCTGTCTTAAATATTAATGTTGTTGGGCTGCATTTTTTTTATATTAAGTTAACAATTTATATTTCTTCAGAGATCTAGTCTCTTGTTCATATCCATTGACTATTTTTCTGTCAGGCTGTTGGATTTCTCTTTTTTCTTTTCTTTTTTTTTTTTTTGAGACAGAGTCTCTGTTGCTCAGGCTGGAGTGCAGTGGCACAATCTCGGCTCACTGCCTCCTGAGTAGCTGGGATGACAGGCGCGTGCCACCATGCTCGGCTAATTTTTGTATTTTTAGTGGAGACAGGAATTCACCATGTTGGCCAGTCTGATTTTGAACTCTTAACCTCAAGTGATCTACCCGCCTTGGCCTCGCAAAGTGTTAGCATTACAGACATGAGCTACTGTGCTTGGCTTTGAAAAAATTTTTAGATTTTTAGTAGAGATGGGTCTCAACTATGTTGCCCAGGCTAATCTCAAACTCCTGACTTCAAGGGATCCTCCCACCTCAGTCTCCCAAAGTGCTGGGGTTATAGGTGTAAGCTCCTGTGCCTGGCCCTAAACTGGTTTTTGAAAAAGGTGGCAGATCAATACATCCCTGCAAAGCAGGGGGCGAAAAAACAAATATTTGCCATTTAATAACCTAGGCAGGAAAGATAAGCTAAAAAAAATCAAAGGGAATTATGCCCATTTCATATCAACATCTTATGTCTAGATAATGGGAACTCAGAAGTTCCCAAAACTGGATGAAGAGACAAAAACCTGAAAACTGGAAGAGAAAAGACAGTGAGATTTAACTTAATAATACTGTGGGCCAGGTGCGCTGGCTCACGCTTGTAGTCCTAGCACTTTGGAAGGCTTGATGTAGGTGGATCACTTGAGCTCAGACCAGCCTGGGTAACATGGCACACCCCATCTCTACTAAAAATACAAAAATTAGCTGGGCAAGGTGGCTTAGTCTCAGTCACTCTGGAGGTTGAGGGAGGAGGATTGCTTGAGCATGGGAGGTGGAGGTTGCAGTGAGCCGAGACCACGCCAATGCACTCCAGCCTGGGTAACAGAGCAAGATCCTGTCTCAAAAAATAAAATAATATCATGCATACAAGTCTTGAGTAGTTGCCGTTATAATTCAAAGCTTCCCAATTCATTTTGCAAAAGTAATATTTTTAGTACTCAAACCTAGTAGTTTTCTTCTCCAGAAAAACTGCTCTCACCTGGTCTTAAGATAAATGTACGCCATGTACTGCTTAACCAGGTTAATAACAGCTTAGGAGAGCTTATCTGAAGAAGCTCATGTAAGGATGGCTAAACATTAGGGAATCAGAAACAAATTTGTTAGTAAACTAAAGAACACAGCATACTTAGCCACAAATGCTCAGAAAATTCAGCTACAAAACTTACCAGCAATTTAGGGTTAAAACATCATATGAGGCCGGGTGCGGTGGCTCAAGCCTGTAATCCCAGCACTTTGGGAGGCCGAGACAGGCGGATCATGAGGTCAGGAGATCGAGACCATCCTGGCTAACCCGGTGAAACTCCGTCTCT